AAGCATTTGACAAAAATCCAACACCCTTTTCTTTATAAAAACTCTCAGCAAGGTCGGAATAGAATGATAGTACTTCAACATAATAAAAGCCATTATGACAAGCCCACAGCCAACATCATACTCAATGGGCAAAAACTAAAACCAACAGAAACAACACAGGGATACCAATCTCACCATTCCTGTTCGACATAGTACTAGAAATATTAGCCATTGCGATTATACAAGAAGAAGAAATAAAAGGCATCCAAATTAAAAAATGAGAAGTAAAACTGTCCTTTTCCACAAATGACATGATATCGTACATAAAAACACCTAAAGCCGAAACTGGTTTGGCTCAGTGGATAGAGCATCGGCCTGCAGACTGAAAGGTCCCAGGTTTAATTCAGGTCAAGGACATGTACATTGGTTGCAGGCACATCCCCAGTAGGGGGTGTGCAAGAGGCAACTGGCTGATATTTCTAGCTCTCTATCCCTCTCCCTTCCTCGCTGTAAAAAAAAAAAATCAATAAAATATATTAAATAAAAAAAACCTAAAGACTCTATCAGAAAACAATTAGACTTAATCCATAAATTCGATAATGTTAATTAATGCTAAACCCAAAATCAATGTTAAGAAATCTATGGCATTTCTATACATCAAAATTGTACTTACAGAAAGAGAGACCAAAAAAGCAATCCCATTTACCATCACACCAAAAAAGTTAATTTACATAGGAATAAACTTAATATAGAAGGTAAGAGATCTATACCTGGAATACTTCAGGACACTGAAAAAAGAGGTAGAGAAAGACAAACAGATGGAAGAACATACCATATTCATGGATTGGTAGAATCAACATCATTAAAATGCCCATACTACCCAAAGCAATCTATAGATTCAATGCACTCTCCATTGAAATACTAATGGAATATTTCACAGACCTACAAAGAACTCTCCAAAAATTCATCTGGAATAAAAACACCCTCAACAGCCACAGCAATCCTGAGAAAGAATAATAAAGTAGGGATTTCAATACCAGATTGCAAGCTGATTTACAAAGCCACTGTACTCAAAACAGCCTGGTACAATAAAAAGCTTTTTCACAGCGAAAGAAACCATCAACAAAACAACAAGAAAGCCCACTGTATGGGAGAACATATTTGTCAAAGTTATCAATGATAAAGATGTAATCTCCAACATTTAGAGGGAATTCATACAACTCAATAAAGGAAGATAAATGATCCAATTAAAAAAAAAGTGGGCAACAGACCTAAATAGAAACTTTTCTTATAAGACAGAAGGAAGGCCAAGGGACATATATGTTCAAATTCACTAATTACCCGAGAGATGAAAATCAAAATGACATCTGTGAGAATGGCTATCATCAACAAATCAACAAAGGACAAGTGTTGGCGAGGACGGAGAAAAAGGAACCCTCGTGTCTTTCTGGTGGGAATGCAGACTGGTGGAACCACAGTGGAGAACAATAAGGAGTTTCCTCAAAAAACTGAAAATGGAACTTTCATTTGACCCAGTCATCCCACTTCTAGGAATATATCCTAAGAAACTAGAAACACCAATCAACAAGGATATATGCACCCCTTTGTTCATAGCAGCCCAATTTACAATAGTTAAGATTTGGAAACAGCCTAGGTGCCCATCAGTAGATGAGTGCATTAGAAAACTGTGGTACATCTACACAATGGAATACTACGCTGCTATAAAAAGGAAGGAATTCTTACCATTGCAGCAACCTGACTGGACCTGGAGAGCATTATGCTAAGTGAAATAAGCCAGGCAATAAAAGAAAAATACCACATGATCTCACTCATTGATGGATAATAAAGAACATTATAACCTGATGAACAAAATGATAGGTACAGAGGCAATAGAACCTCAAACAGACTGTCAAATTATAGCAGGAAGGCTGGGGAATGTTGGGGAAAAGGGGGAAAGAGATCCTAAGGACTTTTATGCATGTATATAAGAGAAACCAATGACCAAAAGACACTGGAAGGGTGGGATAAGGGCATGTGACAGAGGTTTGGGGAGGCTGGGCGAAGGTCAATGGGGGAAAAAAGAAATATATGTAATACTATGTGTAATACTTTAACCTATAAAAAATAAAAAAGAAACTATCTGTTATGCAAATTTCAAACAAGAATGTGTGTGACCATCATCAGTAGATCCCTGTTCGAATCTATACACCATAAAGAAATAGGAGTCTAATAAGGAATTCATTTAAAAGGCACATAAACCATTCTTGCCCTTCATGCCCATTCTAGTTACCTTCTAAGCTAGACTATTTAAACACTTTCTAGAGGCCTTGTTGATCCAGTTCCCCAGTTGTTTACCAGTTTATAGACTACCATACCGTACCCACCCCTTCTGCATTGGTTGAATTCCAAAGCACCCCTTGGAATTGGGGAAATATGAGAAAGATTATTTCAACAACAACAATATATTCCCCTTCCTTTTCACTCTCTGTTTTGGCCTCAGTGCATCACAAGAGAAGAGATCTCATTTGTATTATTTATCAATAGAAACCAATGCCATGAAGAGTACCTGGCATATAAAGATGACAAAAAATATTTATTTAATGAATTATTTTAGTTTAAAAAAATGAATAAGTGTAATAGATCATCAGCTTATTTATAGAGAAAAATGGGCACACTTTCTCTTTTGTACAGATTTTGCTTTATAACAAACTTAATTAGTGTTGGGGGGAAGTTCTAAAAAGGTAAATTTAGAAAGAAGTAGGTTGGGTGTGTAACTCTTTAAAATAACCAATAAATCATTTACATTTTCATTTCTAAAAGGTATGGGTTTGAATGGTGTAAATCATTTAGGAAAGCTAATAATGAGTTGTATGTGCAAAACTACATTATTAATAACAATTGTGTTTTATTAAATATTTTATACTCATTCCTAAGCCAAAATAAATTACTAAATTTGGAAAGTGCAAAAAAAATTACTTTATCATAAGCAATGCCATGTCTGTTCAGGTGGGATCTCCTTACTTTGCTCTGAAGGTTTGGGAGACTTTTCCAAAGTATTTCATAAATTCTATTAGAATCTAAGAAGTAACCCAAAACAAAATCTGATGAATAATATTGCGCCATGTTCTTAGTAGTTTGTATTTTTTTTATATTATTGCATTGAGGGAAAGAACCATTTAGTTGTCATTTTCATTATCTACCACAGTCCCTTGCATGGTATAGATATTCAGCCCACATTTCCTTATTTGAATTAAATTGAGTTGAAATGCATTTAAATACTCTTTCTCTGAAGTCAATGAACATTATACCAATTAACATTTCTGGAGAAAAGCCACTTACAGAGGAATTCTTTGATATCCATTCTACAATCCTTTTCTGCTCTTGATGCTTCTATTCGCCATTATTCTGCCTGCTATTCCCCATCCAAATCTTCCTCCATTCTTCTATTTCCCATTATCACTCTTGACTGTGACTTTTCAGCCAGATAGAATGGGGACTAGCAAGAGTAGTAACTCATAGTAACACTATCACAATCATTTTTCAAGATTTTCACAAAAGCTCATGGAAAGGAACTGAGATGGTCTTACTATGTCTTCATAGAGACTAAAAATTCCCTTTAAAATAGTTTTGTTTAAGCCTTTCTACTTTATAAGATTCACAAATATATATAGTCTATCAAATTCATTACCAGCAACTAAATGTTCAATATTAAAACAACTTATATGAAGAGTTATCACTTCATATTCTTCAAGGTGATAAAAAAAATTATTGGCTCTCTTATATCTCATCAAATATTTATAGTACTGACAATATATATTTATAATGTAGGAATACATGACAAGAAACCCATCTACAATAAGCTTACAAAACAATAAGCCAATATCTAATTTTCTCTTGAGATTCTTTAAAAATTATAATCAAAAGACATTTAAAATGGATTTTTATAAACCTCTGAGTATTAGTTATTACATTTATTACCTAATTCTTATTAATTCATCTAGATCTATAATTTATAAATATTAAAAATAATGAATATGGAAAACAGTATCATTATTACCAGGTCACAGGGGGTGCTGAGGCAGGTGGAAAAGGGAATAGGGAATATAAATGGTGATGGATGGAGACTTTACTTGGGGTGGTGAACACACAATACAGTGTACAGATGATGTGCTGTAGAATTATGCACCTGAAATCTTTATAACTTTATTAACCAGGGTCACTCCAATAAATTCAATAAAATTTTAAAAGATCTAAGAAAATCCCTACAGACACATTTAAAAAAAATAGTAAAGAATAAGATAAATACATATTCTAGGCAATTCTTCCATCTTTTCTGTATGGCAATCAAAGCCAAATTTTTACATATAAAGCTATGCATAGTTAAGTAACAAGTGCTTCATATACACTGAATTTGAATTCTCAATAATTCAAGTCAGTGACTAAAAGGAAACAATAACATACTTTATTCTCCCTGGATAGGAATCTAACTCTTACTGACAGTTTGCTGATGCATTAATTTATTTTACTCAGGTTGTGAGTCTGTTTAATCACAATGTGTTAAACAGATTCACTAATGAAAATTATAGGATTTAACTGGATGAATCAATTAATGCAATTATGTTCATGCATATATGTGTGTACATAGTGTATATGATTATGTGTATATACATATATAAACATATATGAAATGATTTAGCAATACATTGTTATATATTGAGGTCATGCCTCTGAAGGATGATGATTACTTCAGAATAAGGGTCAGTTTCTCACTGTCTACAAATTTAATTACTGTTTTCACATGGGGGGAGGGGGTTGTACATTAGCTCTGATCCTTAAATTTAAAATTTTCACTTAATTTTTTTTTATTTTTACAGCATTTAACATCAACAATCAAAGAGTATAATATTGTAAGAAAAGATATGAATAAAATGTTTATGATACTAATTTTAGAGTGATTATATTTTACCAATTAGTCATGTAAGCTGATAAGAATTAAAAAAGATACATTTTAAAAATGTTACCTGTTATCAATCGAGCTTCCATTGTTGACCCTTGAGATCTGTGATAAAGATAATACTAAATTCAAATACAACAAATATGTACATAATATGTTACATTAAATCTCTTTTAAAATACCATTCAAAACAGTTTTATAATATATCAATTTGCAATACTAAGGTATTAAAAAGTGCTCAGTGAGCCCCTGCCAGGCCTCAGCAACCTCCCCTTTTAACCTCCTCATTTCCTTATGCTCCATTTCTCTCTCTCTCTCTCTCTCTCTCTCTCTCTCTCTCTCTCTCTCTCTCTCTCTCTCTCTCTCTCTTTCTCTCTCTTATCTTCCCCAGGCAGTTACCACAGAGAAAAAGGAATGTATATGTCCACTATCCAGAAACTCCACTCTTTTCTTCCTTTGCAGATTCAAGTAAGGGTGATGATGTACTTCCTGCTAGTACTGAGGACTATCCATATAAGAATTCAACAAAGAAATTGCAGAAAAACCTTTAGGACTGTCCAAGGGTTCACCGATGATATGATAAAAAGAAACTAGTGAAGGTGATTAACAAGAAATTTGCCTGTAATGGTACTGTAATTGAGCATCTAGAATATGGAGAATGATTCAGCTACAGGGTGACCAGTATAAGAACATATGCCAGTTCTTTATAGAGATTGAACTGGCTAAGGACGACCAGTTGCATGTTTGTGGATTTTAACTGCTTTTGACTTGCTGAAGCTTAAGTGAGGATTTCCTTGCAATGAGTAGGGTTTCCCTCTGTCCCTTGTCACAAGTTTAAAAACCGCACAGTTTGTATTATGTAACCATTAAGGTCTGCTTTTCATTTGAACTAGTATAACATCTTCATTTGATAACTGAAAAGAGCTGTGCTGTTTAGTCTTGAAATTTCTCATTTAAACAGAGGTCAAGCAGTATGCACCTGGTAGTGTCCAGCCTGAAACAAAGAAATAGAATGATATTTTAGCCAAACCCAAAGCCCCAAGATCACAGATGGCTGTACCTGGCCAGAGGAAGGAGCTTCTGGCCAGAGAAAGCCCTCAGTGAAGTTGAAATTGGTAAGACAGCAAGGGCATTTGTACTATTTAGAGGGAGCCTTTGGTAGTCAAAGATTTCTAACTTGAACAGGTAGGTGGAGTTTAGAACAGTCGCCTTTCGTCTTTCTTATTATGGATACAGTCCTCAGTACTAGTTGGAAGCAGACCATCACCCTTATTTGCATCAGCAAAGGTAACTGAACATCTAGCTTGCCACCAAGGTCTTTTTAACCAGTCATAATTGATGTCCAAATACAATAATATGAGGCCAGTCTTCTATCAGAATTAAATATTGGGCAAGGAGACAAATTTTAAACTATGTGTTAGTCATATAACAGGCTGTAGAGCTTGCAACTTACTAGTTACAGTTGCCCAATGCCATGTGAACCAACAAACTTATTTTGGTTTTTTTTCCCCTTCAGTTTTAATGTAATGTATTTAAACCCTGAAATAAAATTTATTTTCAGAAACCAAAAGAAGGTATCAAAAGGTAAAAAAAAAAAATCCTCATATTTATCATTAAAAGGACATTGTAAAAGAGAGCTACTACCAATATTATGCCCAATATTATGCTTCTAAATGAAAGCAAAAGAGTGATTTATACTACAGTAAAAATTATTTTAAACATCTATTACACAATAATATAATCTCTTTAATATTCTTTTGAAGCATTTAGACTTCAAACGACAATAGCATACCAATATAATAGTTCTTTTATTAATTTACAAGTTTTTAAATTATGTTGATAATGAATGATTAATATATGCTTATTTGATGTGTGATCAAAAATATCAGGAAACTAGTGACTTCAAGAGTGATTTTAAATATAATTGTCTACTATATAGACACTTCTCCAAAGAGGACGTACAAATGGCCAAGAGCCATATGAAAAAATGCTCAAAGTCACTAATCACCAAGAGATGTAAATCAAAATGACTATGAAGTATCACACTTGTCAGAATGACTACCATCAATAAATCAACAAATAAAAAGTGCTGAGGAGGATGTGGAGAAAAGGGAACCCTAGTACACTATTGATAAGAATGCAGACTGATGCAACCATTATGGAAAACAGTATGAGTTTCCTCAAAAAATAAATATGGAACTGCCATTTGACACAGGGATCCCAGTTCTAGGAATATATCCTAAGAATTCAAAACACCAATCAGAAAGAATGCATGCACTCTTATGTTCATAGCAGCACAATTTACAATAGCTAAGATCTGGAAACACCCTAAGTGCCCATCAGTAGATGAGTGGATAAAAAAGCAGTGGTATATTTATGCCATGTAATATTATGCAGAGTAAAAGAGAAGAATCTCTTACCCTTTGAGATAGCATGGAAGGACCTGGAGAGTATCATGCTAAGTGAAATAAGTCAGTAAAAGAATGACAAGTACCATATGATTGCACTCATATATGAAATCTAAGTAACAAAATAAACTGATGAAGGGAGTGGATCCAGAGATATGGAAGCATGGAACAGAGTGCAGAATCTCAGAGAGAAGGTGAGGAGGGTGGGTGGGTGGGAGGTAATCCAAAGATCTTGTATGCATATATGCATAACACGTGGACACAGACAATAGGGTGCTGAAGGCCATGGGCGAGAGGGAAGGTGGGTTGGAAGGGGCTAATGGGGAGGGAAAGGAGGACATATCTACATACATAAAAAGCCAGAGACCAGAACGCCATAACGACCAAAACAACGGGTCACTATGATGCCCACTGTGTCCAGAAAGCCAGCTTCATCCAGGATGAGGCTGGCCCACCAACCTCACATGGCTTTTCCTCCCAGCCAGTCTCGCCTCTAATTGCCTCTCCACCCAAATAAGGGGTTGGGCCCGCCAGCCAACCTCCCGAAACCCCTCCCCCCACCAGCCCTGCCCACAATGAGTCCCTACCACCCTGATCAGCCTAACGTCCCTCCCCCACCAGGCTCCACGCCAGATAGCCCCGCCCCCTGATCAGGGGCAGGGCCAGCCAGCCAACCAACCACTTGTGGCCTGTACCCCTGGCTGGTCCCACCCCCAATCAGCCTCCCCACCCCATTCGGAGGCAGGGCCAGCCAGCCAATCGCCTGCCATCTCCTCCTCCTGACAAGCCTGGACCCAATCTGCCCCAATTGAGGCCAGGCTGGCTGGACCCCATATGTACACAAATTCGTGGACTGGGGACTCTAGTTTTATATATATATAATTGTCTAACCACAATGCTGCATATCTGAAATAAATATAAAATGTAATGGAGTATGATTTCATTTATTAATCTTGGAAAGATACTTTCCTGTTACATAAGTGTAAATTTCTAGATTTTTATCTCAGGTCTGAATTTTGTATAATTGCATTTATTTCATACACAGATTAGCTGGTTATATCCTTACTCAACTGTAGCAAAGTTTTCTAAATGCTCACCAAACCAATTTTCTTTTCTTCTTTGTCACATCACTGGCCTACATTTCTAAGTCCCTCCTGTAATTGAAGTGATAAAGTAAGATAAAATAACATGGATCACGTCCAGACTTGGCAAAGAAAATGGATCATGTTTGTTGTGTCTCTTCAAGGAAGAGGCTCCACCTAGCCCTCAATGCCTTCTAAATTAAAATAAATAAATAAATAAATAAATAAATAAATAAATAAATAAATAAATAGCTAGCTCATGTTTGGTCTTCCATATTCTTTTCTGGTAGCTGCATATCTATACCCAGCACGGGCAAGGAAGTTTTGCTGAGCTGTAAAATAGCAAAACACACGCCAGGATATATGAATGACCTTGTAAAACAGGATTCCTAATGCAAACAATAACCCTAAATTTTCTGGGACTACTTGTATGAGGAAACAAATTTTTATTGAGTGTGAGAAATTATACATTTTGGGCCTATTTGCCACAAAAGTTATCCTGTATATTAAGTAATATATTACCACTATTTTTCACATTGCTTATTTAAATAACTAGGACAGAGCTAAATGATGAAACCTACCATTCACATAGTGCTTCACAATATACAAAAGCAGTTAATAAATATTATCTTATTGAACTTTAAAAACATTTTTAAAAAGTATTACCATATTCCCTTAATTGTTTTATAAAAAATTATGTATAGTTCCTGATAATAGATTCATAGATCTCACCATTCCATATAATTAAAAAATGAAATAATTACTCCAGTAAACAAGTTTATAAACAGGCACAAAAAATATATGCTGCCTAAAAGAGAACACTTATAATAAGAAGACATATACAGACTAAAAGTAAAGAGATAGAAAAAGATTTTTCATGCAAAAGAAAGATGGGTAACGACAATACTTTTATCAGACAAAATCACCTTCAAATGAAGACTATAATAATAGACAAAAATAAGATATTTAATAAAAGCCTAATATGGTAAGTGTCTGGTCATCTGGTTGGCCATTCAACTAATCAAAATTCAATCCTATCTAGGAGAGCAGAGATGGCGATGGAATAGACAGATAGGTTCGGAGCCTTATCCTGGAGCAGAAAGAAAGAACAGCTGAGGGTCACACGGGGAGTATTTGTTGGCCAGTTAAGAGATAGCTAAACTCCAGGAGAAGGTGGGGGACTGCTGGACAGGGTACCCCTGACCAGGCAGCCCCCATTGCAGCTGGGTTCCCTCTCAGAGTGACAGGCTCAGATGCAGAGACTGTGCCATCTTGAAGTGGAAAGTGGATCTTATCTGAAGCTTGGAAAATTACAACTGCAGCAACCAACGAACAACTGCGAGTCCCAGAACACTGGACCCCAACTGGTACAAACACATGGTTTCAGAAGAGGTCTACACTCTACCCGGAAGGGTCAAACTTCACCTGGGATAAGGAGAGAGAGAACTACATAACCAGACATCCTGAAAAGAGAGACCATGGGGAGACTAAGAAATAGCCCACATATGAAAGAAAAGTAGGCATCACCAGAAAAGGAAGAAACAAAATAGAGGCTAGTAAAATATCAGAGAACAAATTCAGAGAAATGGTCATAGGTAGCTGAAAAGAATGAAAG